GAAGTCCGGCTCCTCCAGTACCCGGAGCAACCCAGCGGTCCGGTTCACAAACTCGCTCCTCAACGCCGCGTAAGCCGGCCCGAGCAGGAACGTGAACTGCGTGCCGGAGTCAACCATCGTCTGACCCGCCCCGGTATGGTCCGGCTCGAAAACGGACTTCGGAAGGGGTAGAAGCTTCTCCGACACCCTTATCCCTTCCAGCTGGACCGTGTACGCCGCCCGGTTGAAATACGGCAGCCGAGTCTGGATCTGGATCATCGGCGTGTAGTTGAGCGGAAGGATCAGCCCCGCCGTGAAATTCGAGTCCCCGAACAGGAGCACGCCGGAAAAATCCGACCCGGATATGCAGTACGAGAATTTCCCAAACCCCATTTGAGAGACAAACGATAACGAGCCCCGATTCATCCCCATTAGCCCCGTCGTCTTACCGTCTTCCTCCGAGTTGCTACTATATCCCGAGTCCATACACCCGAAAACCGTGCCCGGAAAACCCAACCCGCCCACCGAGAAACTTTCCGAAGCAAGATTCCCTTCAGATGATGACATGTCAGCATATGATAGGATCGCGTGGCATAAATTTCTCGAGTCGCACGAGGCAGGTATCGAGAAGTCCTGCGTACGGTCAGTGCAAGTGGCCGACGAGCATGAGACGGGCGAGTATGTTGAAGAACGGGTCGGGTCGAATGCGGGTCGGTTTGCGCAGGTCGTGTTGCATTGGAGCCACGAGAGTTCGCTACCCGTGTCGAGTACCATGGTAACATTCTGCGGTGGCGTGCCGACTGATAGAGAGACGGTTAGGGTTACATTGTGGGTGAATTGGAGTTTGTTCGGGATTTCTCGGGTTTTGAGGGGAAGGGCTAGGGTTTTGCTGAGAGGCCTGAGATGGGTCGATTTTGGGACGAAGAAAGGCTCGGTTGATGAGAAAACGGGTTGGGTTTCGAGCACGAAGAATGTTGTGGAGAGTGAGAGTAATAGGGTATGGATCATATTTGTCATGGTGGTGTTCTTGGTTTTTAGAGATATATGGAGAGTGTGGGATTTTGTCAAGTGAGTGAGATTGTGTTTGTGTGGCTTATGGGATGTTGAAATTTTGTGAACCATGTAAAATACAAATGGAATTAAGGAAAAAAAGAACATAAATGAGAAAGAAGTGATTAAAAAATAGTATCATTGTTGATGTGATTTGTCAGCTAAGATTACTAATTGAGCACATATTGCATTAAAGTATTTAACAAGATTTTGCTAAATTCAACTATGTTTGAAATTGGTTATAGAGGACAATAGTCTTTCTTGGCTTGTTTGTGATATGATGTGCATGTGAGATATTTTTCTACTCCAAATTTCTACCTTAGCTTTTATGAGGTAGTTGGGGGAGTTCATGGCAGAGTTTAATAGTAGCAATGGGCATGGAGTGCTTTTTGGGGAGATGATGAATAGTGAACAAAATTATAATTCAAATACAGCTTATATTTCTAATGTGATTAGTTCTAATGAGAAGTCACTTAAATTATGGGTAGCCCATCAAGTCCTTGTCTGCAGTAAATTTTAAGTTAATTTCCTTCAAACATAAAACATGTCTCAAATTTGGTTGAGCATATTTCTAACACAATTAATGGGTGGCTTATAAGTTCTATGTATAACATTATTATTTTATGAAGCCGAATAATGATGGTGACTGGGGAAATTGAACGAAAAAATATAATAGGGAAAAAGAAGATGCTTTGTGGGGGGCTCTCGAATATTGACCGCTGATATATAAAAAGTGCACGTGTGTGCACATGCTTTGTTGAATACGGAACGGGCAGAGAGCTTAGTGGGCCAACTGGGTTATGGGGAGCCGAACCCCGGCCCATTGTGTGTCAATTAGATTGTGATCAAAATGATTGATTTCATTTGGCATTGGTAGTACGATGAATGTTGATAACGTGCCAACCGGCACAAGGGCAGCTAAATTTTAAAATTTCTATTAACAAAGTTTCGAATGTGACTATTAGATATGGTCTTATGTCACGTGAATAATAAAACAAAATTTAACGCCATTTGGTATCCATGCAATCTAAGTTTTGAAGCATAATTTAATGTTAATGAATCCAATATAGATAAGAAGCTGAGAATATTCGATCCAGAAAGTTGGAGAGTGTTGGAGTCTCGATGTTGATCTCTCAGTCTCTAATATTTTGTCTCGATGTCTTAATCTCATGATATCTAGATCTTGAGATTTTTTATTCTAGATCTTGCAATTTCAATCAAAAATTACGAAAAGATAATGAGATGTTTTTAATTAGATCAAACTCATTCACATGGGTCGTAGGAGGCCCTATTGCTCAATAGGTAGAACTCAAAACATGACGTACATTTGCATAGATAAAACAAACAAACTTTAGTGTAGAACACAATTGTAATATAATCACTTTATTCATGAATCACTCGATAAAGCTTAGAACTTGAAAGTATGTATACGCAAATAGATTAATCATTTTATCTCATCTTATTAGTTAATTTTAACTATCTATATTTGAACACAATTTCAAATATAATCCCGTGCATAAGCCAATAACCTTATCAACCTAGTATAGAGAAAACGAATGTTCTCTCGAATTATATATGATTAATGAATCTCAATCTTGGCTCAACTATCCGTTCTACATATATCGTGATCAACTCAACACAAACCCTTATCTACCCATAAGGAGCGTAGGTGTTGGACTAGGGTAAATAAATCATTCTATACATGAATTGCTTATTGACCTCAAGCCAGATGACTGTTGCATCATTCTTCATGTAGACATATAAACAAATGATTTTTCGTTAGGCCAATCATCTCTAAACTATCTATGTGTGCATCGAGAATAACTATTATTCATAGTCGTGAGACATACTATATTATCCAAGACTGTGATGCAGACCGTCTTTTAATGATTGGACTCAAATAATTTGAGAGTTATACTTTGTCAATTAACATCCACTCAATTAATGACAATGATATATCATACCGGCCCAAACCTCACAATGAAGCCAAGCAACCCAACCAGGTTTACGAAGTAGCTTGACTCAGTTCTACCTGAGAGCAATAGTCATACCAAATTACCAACGGTGGCCTACTGGGAAGAGAAGACATCCAATAGATAGAGCTTGCACCCTAGTCGACCTTGGAGGATTAGGAGGTTGAGTCGACCATGTTATACATATTTAATAGAGGAGCTGGGGAAGGCCATGTTCTACCTGCGCAATGTTCTACCTGGTGACGTGGACCTGATCTCATAGCAGGACAAAAGGCATATAATTGGGGAACTGAGTCATACAAGGAATTGGACCACTCTTCGTTAATTATTTTCGCTATCCGCAAGTGTACGGCGTAGCTATAGGTAGTGGCGAGCAAGATCGTATTCCACAGAGATTGTAGTTAAATTAATTAAGTACTAAAATAATGACGAGTAAATATTATCTAGACTAATGAATTGGATGATGATTATAAACTAAGAATTAAACTAAAAACTAATTTATCTAAAAAAACTAAAAATAAAACAAGATACAAAAGATAGATTATAGGTTATGCTTTCCTCGGAATTAATTCATGAAACGTTTATATTCAAACAAACCTTATTTAATTTTATCAATCGTAGAGATACTCGCTAAATTGATTTCAATCATTTCTCTCGAACAAGTCAAATCGTAGATATTAATTGTTATCTATCTCCTCTCGGTCTCAAGATGAACAACTAACTCCCATAAGTTCCTAGGATTTTCGTTCTCTCGCAAGGTCCTATCAACCTCTCGGTCTGTTTATTCTCTTACGTTATAAATCTCCCAATTCTAGCAATCAATTATCTCCTCTCGGTCTCAAATCAATTACAAATATGCATTCATAGTGGCCATCTACTCACACAATAATAATAAGCATAAGAAATTTATAAACGAAAGATAAACTGGAATGAAAGAAATAAAAACTAAATCATAAATCAATCCGAGTACTAACAAATCCTAGAATCTAAGATAAATCTAGCCTAGAAACATGATTTCAAAATAAGAAAAATAAATATAAAACATAGAGTTCGAAAAAGAAAGAAAAAGCTTATTCGGCTCCGTCGATCCTTTCTTCCCGGCTTTCTCCCTCGTCTTGCTCGTGTTTCTAACCTCCAAAGGTCTCCAAAATATGTCCAAGACTCTCAAAAAACGTGTCCAAGTATTATATATATAGTTGGGTCGAGTCCTAGTTGAAATAGGTCGAAAATACAGAAAAAATAGGAAAACGCGCAAAATCCGAATCTGATGCTTCCAGGGACACACGACTCGTGTCATAAGCCACACGAGTCGTGTGACAAAGTCGAGAGCTCAATATATGACCCGTCAGAGAGACACGAGCCGTGTCTCGGGCTCACACGACCCGTGTGAGCCTGGGAGTTCAAAACAGCACCAGATCGTCACTTTTAGCTCGTTTCGTGGCTCCTGGTCGAGTTTCCGGAATCCCATGTGTTCGTAAGAAGTAAAGTGGTCGTCCAGGTATCCCAGACGGCGGATTCCGGCGAGTTCCGGCCATCTCCGGCGCGGATTTGGCATCACAAGAATTTCCAGGTGGTCTGGTCGGAGCTCCGGCGAAACGATGGCAGAGGCGGTCGGAGAGATGGTGACGACGGAGAGAGATGAGCGCAGCAGCGGCGACGTCAGGTGACGAGCTTCAGCGAAGCTCCAATGGCTGCATCACGTCTTCACGTACATGATGAGGAAGAAGATGATTCCATCTTTAATAATAATTGAAATGACTAACATGCCCTCACTTAATTGTCACTTGGGGTGAATGTGTATGGGCCAAAGTTAGGCTTTGCTGGGCTGATTTTATGATATGAAAGTTGGGCCAACAATAGATATACGGCTGCCACCAGCAAGTCTTGTACTTGAACCAGTTCCAATTCACGATTTGCACTCCTTTTATGTCCGGTTCACGTCGTTTTCGACTCCAAAAAATTATTTCAACCTCATTGCCTATTAAAACTCAAAATAAAACACCTCATCATAGCTTAATATAAATAATTAAATAATAATTAATTACATAATAATTAATTATATATCAAACTACGACAAAACGGACACGAAAATCACTACAAAATGCACGTAAATATGACGCATGTCAACCACGTGTTGCAATAGGGTTGGGTCGTCTGCACCTGTGACAAACTTGATAGTCTGGGAAGCTGCAGGTCGTATGGACGGGCAGTAGAGGCAGCTGGGTCAATTCTCCGAACAGACTTGGAGAACAACATCACACCCCTATATAAAGGGGTGTGGTATGTTAGTTTTAGGGTTACATTCTATACACTTTTATGCACTTATTTTTACTATTCATTATCTTGAACCGAAGATTAATTTAGACATCGGAGGCTCTTCGCCAGAAAATCCCCCTCCCGGTGTTGAGTTCTTGTAGGTGTGGAGGCCGTTCGAGGTAGAAGAATTACGTTTTTTCATCGTAGCAATTCGAACAAAGACCGAGCAAAGTCTATTTCACTATTAGACAATATTAACTGAAAGGAACAACTATCAATAAATTCTAATTAATTAATTAATTAATTAATTAATTGTGATATCATAATTATAGTCAAATATAATATTAATGTGATCAAGTACATGTATCGTCAAAAAATTGTTTATAGAAAACATACACCGAGGAGACATTTTAACATTTTAAAGATAGAGCACAACACTATACTCATTTTCACATTATGAACAATATGAAATTTTGCTAAATATAATTAAAATTAATTGATCAACGGTATAAAATTAAAATTCTCATATAAAATACATAAATCTAATAAAATTTAATAGAAAAATATTCATAAATCAATAATCGAACGCGGCCGGTCAAAACCGAAGGTTTCGGTTGTCGATTTATCTCTAATCTTTGGATTCATTTGATAATATCTAGGCTCGAGTTTCACTCCTCATCAGCTGTACTGCTGTACATAGTCAGTTGACTCAGTTCAGTCTCCGACTCTAGGCCCAAGTACCATATTTTACTTAAGGCCCATACAATCTATCAAAGTATGTACTCGTGGGCCCAAGCCCATTCTGCGTTCTGTTCTCATCTTTCGGCCGCCTGCAATGTAAAATCTTCTCCGCTGGAAAAGTACAAGAGATTTCGTTTTATGCTGCACAGTACTTTCTCGATTCATCTGGTAAATTCAAGCATCTTCAAGCGAGCTCCACAAAATTTCCCCTACATTGAAGGTATATAAATCAGCACAATCTCCATCAATTGCGCCCCAACAGATACTTCTCTAAGCTTCATTTCATATCGCAATTGTTGAACTTCTGCAGTTTCTTGTTCGCGGGAAAAAATGGCGAGGGAAGCTCCTAACTGGGAAGGCCTGCTCAAGTGGAGCCTCGCGCACTCAGATGGCACCAATTCTTCTCGTAATTTGAGGTGAGGTCCTTATTTTGTTTTCCAATTGCTATGTTCATCGCGCGACAGATTTATTTTATTTATATTTAATCGAATTTGTTAGTAAGCTGGTTAGATATATGGTTTTGTCGTATATGGGTTCTTGATTGGTTCGTTGAAGGTGTTGATGATGTTGATTGAAGCTATGTGTTGTTACGTTTTTCAGTGAGGAAGATAGAAAATGGTTTATGGAAGCGATGCAAGCGCAGACGGTTGATGTTGTTAAGCGTATGAAAGAGATAACGTTCGTTATGAAGACCCCAGATGAGATTTTGGAGTCTCAAGGAGTAACTCCTCAAGATATTGAAGGTATTTATTTGTAGTTTTAGCTGCCGTGGTTATGAAGATTGGAATCTTAGTTAGTTTTTCGTGATTGCAGATATGTTGGATGAGCTACAAGAGCATGTGGAATCTATTGATATGGCCAATGGTTAGTTTCTTCTTTAGTCGTTGCAGATTTTTGTCTATGATTTTGGCACAGTCATGAAAGCTATTGAGTAGGTATGGTGGATGTTTTATTTCATGATGTGCATTGTGTTTTTACAACATTAGATATTCCTGTTCGTCGTATGGTTTTCTTGTAAGGGCTATGTTTTTTATGGCTTCTATTCCTTTCCTTGTTTGTTTTTGTTTGGGGATAACTGTTAGCATATCCTTTTAATCTTTGATTCATAGCTGTTTCACGGAAAGTTGTTTTAATTATCTTTTATCTTGTAAGATCACACGGTCTTTAATTTTATTGAATTCTGTTGCACTGTATCCAGACAAGTGTGCCCTTTTTTTCCCTTTTCATTTTTCTATATCTCAGCTGATTTTTGAACTTTGAGTCTTAGTTTGGGCCTCTAGCTATTTCCCAGTTGTCCAGTTTCGACCGTTTATTTCTCCTAAATCGGTTATTGTGGTGTGTGTTCTTTATGTATCATCTTTGCATGTCAAGCGTCAAAGTCTATAATGCGTTTAAACTATGGGTCCTCCGTGCACGCTTTTATCTTAAATTTGCAACGGCCATGTTCCGAAGCTCGATATCTTTTGTATGTGTTATTTATTTATCATTTTTTGTCTGAGTGACCGTTTAATCTTTTAATCGATTATGTTTTTTTATCTCAAGATCTTCACTCTATTGGTGGCTTGGTTCCTCTCCTTGACTACCTGAAGAACTCACACGCTAACATAAGGGCGAAAGCTGCGGAAGTTGTTAGCACAATCGTACAAAACAACCCGAGAAGTCAACAGCTGGTTATGGAAGCTAATGGTCTCGAGCCTCTTTTGTTGAATTTTACTTCAGATCCCGATGTCACAGTCCGTACCAAAGCACTTGGTGCAATTTCATGTAAGTCACTCTATAAGATGAAGCAAGAAAGTTCAAACTCACATTTGGTCAGTGCAAGAAAGAATGTTATTCTGATATATTTTGTATAAATGTTCCTTTTGTTGATATATTTTCAGCTCTAATCAGACATAACAAGCCTGGAATTATCGCATTCCGCCTGGCCAATGGTTATGCCGCTCTGAAAGATGCGCTAAATTCTGAGAATTTGAGATTTCAAAGGTGAATTATCCAATTTTCTTTGTTTTTTGCTAATAAATATCTACTTTTTTACTTGCCAATCTAGAAGTCATACTGAAAATAGACTTGTTCAGGGTGTGTTTGTTTATAAATTATTTCAACTCATATTTAATTCATACTCAAAATCTAACTCAACTTTAATTCAATTTCACTATCCTCAGTATTATTAGTATAGTTAAATAAATATCAACCATTCATTCTTATATATCCCATCAACTTTAATTCACTATTCATCTCTCACATAATTTTAACTAATTATCACTTCACATCACTATTCTTTGTGCTTGTTACTTTTAAAGAGGGAAAAACTAGAACAGTACTTCTTCCCATTTCTTATTCAACAAAATCAAACTGTAAAAATGTAATACTTGTCAACTGCAATGAGTGGTTTACTTCAACTCTGAAAAATCGAACAAGTCTTTCTACAGCCATTTTCAGGCCAGCTACTTTTGTTTGTACATTAATCTTATGCACTCAATATGTGTAATCTGCAGGAAAGCACTCAACTTGATCAACTATCTACTTGGAGCTAATCCCTCAGACTGTGGGACCGTGAACGAACTTGGATTTACTCGTATTTTCATGCACCTCTCGTCCAGTGAAGATGCTGATGTACGCGAAGCTGCACTGAAGGGCCTACTTGAGCTGGCCCAAAATCGGCCCGTAGCAAAGCCTGATAGTGGACCCACAGAAGAAGATGAGAAACTCAAACAAATTCTACAGGAGAGAATTAAAGGGATTAGTCAAATGTCGGCTGAGGATTTAAGGGCCGCACGAGAAGAAGGGCAGCTTGTAGACTCTCTTTGGAGCATTTGCAATGATGGGCCTTGTCCTCTGCGTGAAAACGGGCTTGTTGCCTTGAATGGAGATGATGGGCCGCCTCCAGATGTTGCCAGCCTGCATTTTGAGCCGCCACTCAGAGCTTGGGCCGCCAATGGTGGTGGGGATAAGAAGCCCAGTGGCGAAAACGACATTCCGTTGCTTATAGGCCCGGGCCCGCCTGAGGGAGGTGCTTCCTAGTGAAGTGCAGTTTGAGATGACTACATGACCTAGGTCATATTTGTGTCTTTTTTTTTTTTTTTCAATCTTTTTGAACTTTTGTGATTTTGTTTACTGTCATTTGTTGATATACTCTACGCGAATGGTTTCTAGTTTGGGCATTTGGGGTTTGTTTGATATAAGCTTTTAAATGGTTAAATTGTTGATTACTAGATAAAATTTAACTATCTTGCAAAGTTGTAAGCAGTGTTCTAAAAGTCGCTAGGCGCTCGACCAGTGCCGAGCGCTTAGTCGGGGCCCAGAAATCAATAGTAAATACCTTATTTTTTATTTATTTTAACTACCTACAAAATAAAATTATCTCAACATATAAGAAATTTACACACCAAAGTCCAAATAATAATATTAATATATATTAAAGAAAATATGAGAATAAAATAATGTAATTAGTATTTAAAAAAATAAAAAAAAATAAAAAAAAATTAAAAAATTGCCGCCGAGCCCGCCTAGGAGCGCTTAAGTCCGCCTACGCCCGCCTAGACGCCGCCTAACCGCCTGGCCGCCGAGCCCGCCAAGGCCGCCTAGGAGCGCCTAGGGCCGCCTAGGCGTCGCCTAGCCGCCTGACCGATTTTTTTTGCCGATTTGTACAAATCGGAGGCGTCCGGGCACTGCCTAGCGCCTAGGCGCCGCCTAGGCCGATTTTTAGAACAGTGGTTGTAAGTTGCGAGTCGTGACACACCTTTTCGACCAATTAGTTGTATTGGGAGGAATAGTTTAAGATTATTCTTTGAAAATATTATTTTGTGAATGAAAAAGATTAGCGTTGAATATGTTTTTTTTCTGTGAATGAAAAATTATTAGAGTTTGAACATATTGTTTCCAAAGATTAGTGTTAAAATCACGGTTTTGGAAATAATATTGAGAAAAGGTTTAGTGTTTGAACATAAATTTAGGGAAAATACTACAGTCCCGTCGTGAAATGATTCCGTGAGGGTTATTAGCATTTAGATATACATGTAAGTTAATTATTATAGATAATTCATGATTAAAAATTCTCACGGAATCATTCCGTGACGAGGACTGTAGTCTCTCTTAAATTTAGAATTGAAAAATCAGGGTTTAAACATATTATTTCTAGGATTATTTCCAAATGGTTTGAATGGAATTTTCTGAATGAAAA